GGCAGGATGACCAATTAACTTCATTAGTGATGCTGGTACAGGGGGGCTATTCTGTACAGCCTGAGGGCTTACACTCTGTGGGCAATACAGAAAGCTAAACTGACCAGATCCTTTCCACAAATCCCATATCACCTTTATGCTCATACAAAGGAGTCACTGTGTCCACAAATAAGTCATTTAATAGCATGTGCAGTTGGCAAAATTATGTAACTTTCCTAAGCCTCAGTTTTCTCTTTTGTAAAATGGAAATAGCAATGCTTACCTCATACAACCGTAAAGAGGAGTTAAGAAAATAATAAGAGGAAACCTAACAGTGCCTCACATACAGCACATGATCAAGAATGTTAGAGGCCGAAACCAGTTTGGCTCAGTGGATAGAGCCTTGGCCTGCGGACTGAAAGGTCCCAGGTTCGATTCCGGTCAAAGGCATGTACCTTGGTTGCGGGCACATCCCCAGTGGGGGGTGTCCAAGAGGCAGCTGATCAATGATTCTCTCTCATTGATGTTTCTAACTATCCTTCTCTCTTCTTCTCTGTAAAAAAAAATCAATTATATATATATATATATATATATATATATATATATATATATATATTTTTTTTTTTTTTTTTATTTATTTTTTTTTTAAGAATGTTAGATGTAGTCTTCACCTCTGCATCACCAGCAGCTCTAAGCACCAGAAAGGATGAAGAGGGCAGGGCTTTGAGATGAGTCTTTTAGTTGGAGATTGCCATCTGGAGATGAAGAGGCAAATGGACTGGAGTCTAGAAGCAGAATTGAGTATGACTTCCCCTCTTTTTGCCACCTCCCCCCATACAGCCACCCAGTTCACTAGGAGATGTTCTTGTGTTTTCATTCATAGCAAAATGTAAGGAGAATTGAGCATCCCCTGAGATCACTAGTTAGAGAAGGGCAATGAGAAGATGAGCAACCTGTGATGAAAGAAAATATGGACAGAAGATGGAAAACAACTCCTAGGTCCATAAGGGAGAGGAGGAAAAAGGGAAAGTAGAAATAGGTGCTCTTGGGAGCAGGGAAAAGAAAGCAGCAAGGCCAAGGCGGCTTGCATCTCTGCAGCACTCTCAAGAAGCAGGATGCTAGGGAAGAGAGCTATGCATCACACTCACCCAGCCAGGTTTGGGAAAGGGCTTCTGAGGTTGGAGGGCAGAGATGTTTTACACTCTGGTGTCCTATCGAGGGCATTGCCTTATCTTCACCAACAAAGCAGGCAGAACTTGAGGTCTAAGGTAGCTGGGGAGGGTAAAACCTTCAGAAAGAGCCTAAAACAATCCCCAGTGTGTGTCTGGAGAGATACCAGCTGCCTTTGCTTTGGTTCTCTGCCTTAGGGAAGTCCTTCTGCCTTTCTTCATTTCCCCCCTCCTCTCTTCTTGGCAGCCCCACAAGCTGTCAGCCACCCTGTCAGGAATTGGCAAGTTTGGTGACATCTCCCATGATAGACCTTTATTCATTCCTTCAACAGGAAGAGGTAGAAAAGGTATGGTCTAAGAGCCCTAGTTGTCATCTGCTCAGATACCACTACATTGCCCTTGACTAATTCTGCCCGAGGGAAAGTAACAAAAATCCCTATTGCTAAAGGATTAAAATTAGAATAGAAGCTCAATAAAGGCAGTAATCCCTGTCCATTTTAGCTTCTACTATATCCCAAAGCCTGTCACCTAGCAGAACTCAATAAATATTTGTAAAACAAATAAATGCAAATATTTATTAGTGACTTATGAAGAAATGAGGTTCAATGGCTCTAGACTTTGTGCAGTGGCTGAGTAATATTTTTATAGCCTTAGACTCCACCCCCCCCCCACCTTTTCTACTTCATGATCTTTATGATTTTTTTCTCAAAAGTCACAAAATGATTAACTAACTCCATGGTGACAACTCCAGACTCACATCCTCAAACCAACATTCAAAGCAACAAGAATTATGGATAATTTTGAAACTCTGTTTTTTATTCAGGGAACAAACTCTTCCAGGAGGTCCAGAGTTTTTCTTTGTCTTCTTGGCCTGATTTTTGTCCCATGCCACAACTCCACCCCATACAAAGGTGTCTAGGACAGAGAATATATGGCCAAGAGGAGCAAGAACTTGATTATTGGTTTAAACAGTAATTTAGCATTTAGCACTGGGCACATGACCACCCTGATGTAATATCAGGATATTAACACAGACAAAGGGAAAATTGGCCACTGAGTGGACAACGAACTATTTCAGCCAGAGCTATAAAATCTGACATCTGTCTATAGTTGCCAACCTCTTTAGCCTCCATTATTTCTCTTTGGCTTTTCTTTAAAAAGAGGTGCCCTCTGATGTACAGCTATTTCTCCTATAAGCACCTTGAGAATGGAGGGTTGAGGTAAAGGAAAGAAAAGAAAGAAAGAAAGAAAGAAAGAAAGAAAGAAAGAAAGAAAGAAAGAAAGAAAGAAAGAAAGAAAGAAAGAAAGAAAGAAAAAAAAAGGAAGGAAGGAAGGAAGGAAGAAAAAAAAAGGAAGGAAGGAAGGAAGGAAGGAAGGAAGGAAGGAAGGAAGGAAGGAAGGAAGGAAGGAAGGAAGAAAGGAAGGAAGAGAGAAAATGGACTCAGACTTGAAGTTGAACTAAGTAGTAGACTCATTTATTATTTATTACAGCACTTCCATGTGCCAGGCACTATTTTGGTATTCAATGACAAGCAAATTAAATAAGGTTTCATCTTTCATGGATCACATGTTCCATGGGAGAATTTACAGATAAATACATATTATGATATCAGGATTGAGAAGCATTTAAAAAAAAAAGTGGGAAGGAAAGAGGTAAGGCATGATGAGAAGGCTTCTCTGAAAAATACAAAGACTTGACCTTGTCTGTGGAGAACCATGTAACTATGTGGTGAACACCGAGTGGAAAGGCCCTGAGGTGGGAGAGTGATTCTAACTTATAGAAACACGAAGAACACAGGTGTGGGCAGAACAAAGTGAGCAAAGATCAGAAATGAGATTAGAGATATAACCAATGGCTACATGTAGGGTTTTCTTGGTCGTGATAAATATTTGGGATTTTATTCTTTGTGTAATGAGAAGTCATTAGAAGTGTACTTTGGATAGGAAAGTGACATAATTTGGTTTATATTTTTTTTGTTCTTTTTTTTAATATATATTTTATTGATTTTGTACAGAGAGGAAGGAAGAGAGATATAGAGTTAGAAACATCAATGAGAAAGAATCATGGATCAGCTGCCTCTTGCACACCCCCTACTGGGGATGTGCTCGCAACCAAGGTACATGCCCTTGACCGGAATCGAACCAGGGACCCTTCAGTCCCCAAGCCGACGCTCTATCCATTGAGCCAAACCGGTCTCAGCTGGTTTAAATTTTTTAAAACTCACTCTAGCTGCCATAAATAGGAGTCCATTTTAATTATTGCAATGACTAATAATACACAATTGAACAAAACCTAAGAAAATTTGAGAAGTGATTGGTAAACATAAATGACATCTTTTGTAAATGTACTTTTTAAATGAGAGAGATGAGGCTACTTTTCTCCCAAGTATTTTATATACCCATGAATAAATAACCCTAGAGAAAAATAAAGTTTATATTCCTATTTTCTTCCTCTCATAGTTATAAGCTTTGAGACTACTTCATAATTAAGTATGTAGGAAGGAGAATTTTTATTATAGTAATGTTGTTCAATTTGTTTGACTTCCTTTTGAATTATTAGTTAAAAATCACACAGCAACTTATTATTAAAAGTTATTTTTTGGTGGCCTATCCACTGATAACTGGATTAAGTCCTCCTCCAGTATTGAGTAAAAACCTGGAAGCATCTGAACTTGTAAAAGACTTGTTATCCAGTCACTGAATCACTCAACATTGGCACCATATTTTGAATCATTTTTTGACATTCAACAGATTTTTATAACCCAGGGCAATGAATCATGGAAGGTTTGGTGACAGATAAGGGCTTGTTTTCATTTTGTTATGGTGGAGAAACACAATGGCAAATTTATCACCTTGATTAAAGGAGATCTTAGCACAACATTTAGGAAACAGTATATATACAAATAAAAAAATCTAGAAATTGGTTATTATAAAACTGCCTTTACCAGCCTTCATCTTGGAAAATCAGCCGGTGCCTAGTTTGGAGCCCACCATGGTAGTTGGTGAGGCCATAAGGGAACATGTATTATTTTCTTTCTTTGTACCTCTACTACCAAGCAAAATGCCTGATACAAAGTCATTACCCTTTTGTTAAATAATAAAAGAACTAGAGTGTCCATCTCAGCTTTCCCCATTTTCCCCATATTTTTCCTAATTCTTGCTAAGATGGAATAATTGGGATGCTAGAAACATTCTCTGGCTAAAGGAATCCTAAGGCAGAAGTAGTAACATCAAAATATATAGGACAAATTTCAAAGGGAAGGCAAGGATGGGTAGAGAGATTAACTGGGGAACTTATATGCATATATGCATTGCCTATGGTCACAGACAGTGTGATGAAGGCCTGGGAGGGGTGGTGCAGGGTAGAGGGGGTCACTGGAGGGTGGGGGGACACAAAGGGGACATCTGCAATATTTTCAACAATAAAGATAAATTTAAATATATATATGTAGCCGAAACCGGTTTGGCTCAGTGGATAGTGTTGGCCTGCGGACTGAAAGGTCCCTGGTTCAATTCCGGTCAAGGACATGTACCTTGGTTGCAGGCACATTCCCAGTTGGGGGGTGCGCAAGAGGCAGTTGATCGACGTTTCTCTCTCATCGATGTTTCTAGCTCTCTATCCCTCTCTCTTCCTCTTTGTAAAAAATCAACAAAATATATTAAAATAAATAAATAAATAATAAATAAATAAATAAATAAATAAATGTATGTATACACAGATAGATGCATAATTGCCTTTATTAGCGGAGAAGCAGGGTTAACAAATGAAAGGGAGACTTTGAGTCATGTTTCCTGTGTGGGGTCCTGGTGCATTGCAGTCATGATCACACAATGGGGTTCTCCTCCTCCTCCTCAGACCAGCCGGCAGCAGCGGGCAGTGGTCCAGTCGACCACACTGCACTGGCAATGACACGTGGTTTCCTTTCGGATATCCCAGGAACCACAGCCGTAACCACAAGAACAGCCAGTGACAGAAGTCCCTGTATGGGCACATGAGACATGGAGGTCAGAGCTCTGAAATTTTGAGAAGCTAGAGGAGTCCTTAGCCAGTACGATAACATCAAAAATATATATGATGAATTTCAGATGGCGGTGGTGAGTGGAGATAGATCTAGGTTTTGTGAGGTCTAAAGATAATTCCACTGTGAAAGTCCTTTTTAATAAAATAAAAAATTTAGTATATGGCCATGGAGGAGATCTGTGAAAGTGATGGGCCTAGGTACTTCTGTTTCCTCACATTCATGATAAATTCACCTCTACCCATTGAAACAGGGCAATAGATTGAAAAAGAAGAATAAATGGCAGGGGATTTGGTAGGGGATAGGACTATAACAGGACAATTAAGAGGAAGGGCTCATATATCAGGTCATGAAAGGAAGGTGGGAGGGAAGAGGCAGAAACCTAAGATCCTTCAGTAGCTTCCTTAAGAGAAATGAGAATGGGTAAGCGATCTCTGGGAGCCAGGAGTCATTACTCAGCTGGGAATGGACAGGAGAGAGCACAGGGCATCTTACCCCCATCCCTCCTCATGGAATTACTTACCTGCAGGGCAGGAGGACAGTTTGCCGGAGTTGGTGACACTGATACATGAGATGCTTGCTGAGGCAGGTGGATTGCACTCTGAGTAGAAGAGAAGAAGGGTATTGCCCATGCTCTGTTTCCCATAATGCCCTCCTAAATCTCATTCTTCCTCAAATATGCACCTATGTCCATGAATAACTAGTTTTAATGTTTAGTTTTCTCATTTTTCAAATGAAAACAATAGTTGTACTCACCCCAGAAAGTGAAAATTAACTGAAATAATCTGTGTAAAGCTTTTCATCATACCTCATTTACAATGAGTGTTCATAAATTATTACTATCCTCTCCTCCTCTTCCCCCTCATCATCAGCACCATCAGTCTCATTATATCAAGGAAACCTGAACTTTTAGCCAAGAGTCCAAAAGGAGATGAGGGAGTGGGAAAGCCCTGGGGAGGAATCTTGGGCTTGAGTGGAGTGATTAGAGATTGGGCTTCAGGGATGGTATAGCAGAGAAGCTAGGGTGTAGGAGCAGGCAGCATGATCAGGGGCTATTGTTGTTTCCCCCAGTTCTAGTCAATTACCCAAACTTTGAAGAGCTTCCTTTATCCTTTCATTCACAATGGAATCTATGGACTGCTCCGTTCTCCCTGGGCTCATCAGCAGGAAAAGGATGGGGATGAGAAGGCTGCAAGGAGTAGGCTTCATTTTGTGGAAAGGCAGTATCCTGGAGCTGGGAGGAAAGATTGGAACAAAGTTAAAAGCTCTGGACCCCAGTGTGGCTGGGAAGGAAGGGAGAAGAGAACGTGGAGAAATGTCCGGATGGAGTTTGGATCTCTCTAAGTAGGTTGGATAAGTAGGGAAGGTGGCTGCAGAGAGGACTCACTTACCAAAAAGCTCAGAAAAGGTCTGCAAAGGTCTGCAAAAAATCCTTCAGGCAAGGATGATTTATAACCCGGGTACTGCCTAACACACAAGCACATGCACACATGCAAACACATTCTGTAGTATATTTTCAGAGATGCTGCCAATTGGGGAGTGCACACAACAGTAATGAATTTTAGTTTTTCTTTGGTAAATACTGGCTGTCTTTGTTCTGCATCTCTAGTGCCAAGGGAATTATCTGGCTTTGCTGTTCTTCCCTCTCTTTTCTTCTTGGCAATCTAATAAGGCTGGCACATGGATTTTCTGTTGACTGCCCTGGATTACAGGCCACTTGTTTTTTTTGTGTTGTTTTTTTAAATCAGGAAAAGGTTACTTTATGGTCTATTGAGTGAGGGCTCTACTCATCACCTGTTAAGACATGATTTTATTTTCCCAGGCTAATCCCACCTGTTGGAAAGTAGAAAATTTGATGACTGGTATTGTACAAACAAAGAAGTGTACTGTTTACTTAACCAGAGAATGGTGCTAGATTCCAAGGCTCTTTTGGAGAATCCACAGGGTCATTACCAACCTGATCTTTTCCCCCTTCTCTCCACCAGTCTGAGTTTATTGGCTTTTTGTCTTTGACCTTGTCTCATCAAGGTGGCAGGTATCACATTGTCAGCAGAGATCCTGAGCAGGCAAAGTCCTTGTGCTCTTGAGACTAGATTGCAATGTGGGAGATAAATATATAATATGCCATATATTTAAAAATTCTCTGAAGAAAAAGAAATCAGGCAAGACAACTGAGTGTGCCTCTGTGCTGTTGCTTATAATGCAGGGTGCTCTGGGACGACATCTCAGAAAAGGTAATCTATGAGCAATGACCTGGAAAGGTGCATGCAGTGAGACAGAGGAAGAGTTGGGCAAATGCTTCAGGCTAAGAAGCAAACAGGTGTAAAGAGCCCAAGGCAGGGAGCCCAGTCAGCATAGCTCAGTGGTTGAGTGTCCATCTAGAAGCAGGAGATCACAGCTGGATTCTCGGTCAAGGCACATGCCCAGGATGCAGTCTCATCCCCTGGGGGGGGGGCTGTACAGGAGCCCCCACAAGGGATGAGACTGTGGGGGCTCCTGTACAGCCCCCACAGTCTCAGATGATTCTCTCTCACCATTGAGTTTCTCTCTCCCTCTACATTTCTCTCTGAAATCAATAAAAATATATATTTTTAAAAGAGAGGTTAAGGTAAGGAGATGGTTGGTGTGTTGAAGGAATAGCTACAAAGACAGTGTGTGATAAGAGTGAGTGAAGTGAATAAGGGAAAGAAAAGTTAGAAAAGAGGTAAAAAAAAAAAAAATACAACCAGGGCCACGTCATTAAATCTTGTTAAATCAATAAATGGCTTTGGACTTCATTGTAAATTTGATAGATAATTACTGGAGTGTTTTGTTCAGGAGAATAACACAAGATGATTTATGTTTTGTAAAGCTTACTAAGGCCCCTATGGGAAAGAAACTGGAGGGAAAACAGATAAACAAGGAGACAAGGCAGGAAGTGTTTGCAGAGTTCCAGGTCTCAGAGGTAGTCAGGGAAGGAGTGGGGATTGGATGTATTTGGGTTAGATAACACTTGCAGTCAGTGGCATGCCTAGTGCATTGGACACCCAGAGGGGACCACTTCCAACACTTCTGTCATAACAAATTATTTTCAGTCATTATTATGTAATGATCAATAATAATCATTAGTTTTTATTCATTATCTGGTTTTAAAACAAAAATAACTATTAAAAGAATGAATGTGAATTTAAATATATTGTTTACATCTACTCTAATATTTTTGTGTGAACTAAAATCTGTATTTACCAATATAATATTATACCTCTCAGTTTGCACAATCTTTTAATTTATATTTTGAAGCACAATTAAACTCCTCATAATAATATTGAATGACCAAATTGATGTAATTGGAGTTCTGCTAATTTGTCTTTATAAGCACTGGGTTGTCACTGCTCGTTTGGAATCTACTGTTTAATTGCAAAAATATTTAGTAGCATAGGGATTGGTGACACAAATGTAAACCTGAACATTTCTGAACTGTTAAGAATCAACAAAAATGAAGGAATATACTGAGTATGTGGAAACTCACTATACAAGAGGAGTTCTTTGAATTAACTTCCATGTAGAACATGACTCTAAAATAAGTATTTGCTAATTTGAAGTTTACATATCATTATCAAAACTCAACAGTAATCACAGCAATTCTTTGGATCAGTGTTTTGGGGGAAGAGTGTTTTACCATTGACATTATTTAGAATTGCCAGTGTATGGTAATAATAAAAATTGAGTTGACTTTTATATGAATTTATTATTGCTTTTAAATTCTCTATAGACAACGAACAGTGCTTTGTTCCTGCACCCTTACCACTGGTGGTCACTGCTTATGGTACAAGGACATTGCCTCTGCATTTCTGGAAAATGATTATCATCTTATACAGAGAGGGTGGAAAAAAGGGTTTTGTTCCTCCAACATGTGTAGATAGACTATGGGAAGTCTTTTACATTTCTCTCTTCCTAAAAGTGCACTCTTTTCTTAATGACCCAAATGTGAAGGTACGTTTTAAGTCTTTCTATCCCCTCCTTCCAAGCAATTATCTACTGATTAACTTGTATTTTATTTTATATAAATAAAGTTTGAAGAGTAGGTAGCATAGAATAGAAGCTGTAAACATCCTCTGGGTAAAGGTAACATGATGATTAAAGAAATTAAAGGTATGAAAGATGGGGCTGGGGTTGACAAGGTCGTCTGTTCCAGGTTAAGCTAAGGCCAGCTCTGTTTTCCTCTGCCTTTCTTTGTACACAGGAGCTGGGGTCATCAGTGTGGAATGTAAAACCTTAAAGGTACACAAAATGATCCATTGGGTCATAGGTAAATAACAGAGCTGCTATTTTTATTTATTTTTCTTATTCTTTAGTATTTTCTGTTTTATATATGGTTTAGAATATACATATGAATTAACACATGTCTATAGTTTATAAATTGAATTTGAATGTAAAATTAATTTTTAAAACTCATGGTGCATCTGAAAAAGAAAATAGATGACCAAGAAAACCAAGAGCCACAGGAAGCTTGTATATGTCTCAAACAGAAGTTTCTAGGTCTATTTTTCTCTAGAGCTGGTGAGCCTTGAACCACTGAAGTACTATTTTATCTTGTTGATTCATATACTTTAGAGTACATGAGAAATAAGCCAGGTTGATAGTATATATAAAAAATGAGATGCAGATAAAAATTGAAAAGCTGGTCTGCCCTGAATAGAGACAGAGCAAAACATCCCTCACAAATTTTCTTGGAATCTACTCAGGGATTATATAGGTGCAGAGTTCAGTGTCATTAAGCAGGGAAAAATTGGTTATTTAAAATTTGATAAGTTGATGCTTTCAATTAGTGAAACCATAAAGGCTCCTTACTCATCAAGGTTCCAATCAGGCACAAGTCAGCTATAAAAAGAAAATTTGCACTCCAGTAGTTGAAGGAGTTTCCCCAATGGCTGAACAAATTGATTTGTCCAAAGATGTTGTCCCTTTGGAGATGGGAAATAACTTCTTTCCTTCCTTTTTTCCTTTCTTCCTTCCTTCCTTCCTTCCTTCCTTCCTTCCTTCCTTCCTTCCTTCCTTCCTTCTTTCCTTCTTTTTCCTCTGCTTTCCCAGAACTGGTCTCTTTGACTAGTAAACTATAATTCTTATTACCAATTTTAAGCACTCACACTTATAGTTAACCACTTGTCTATATGAAAAGAGTCTAATATAATGACAAAACAAAGGCTTTCTATTAAGACTCCTTCTCTATTTTCTCTCCTTGATATTTCCAGAAAGAGGAGTAAGAGAGAATGGAATTGGCTGATGAAAATGAAGAAAATGTTAAACTTTATTAATTGACAATGATATACAAATTCAGATAGCTGAATATGTCAGTTTTCACTTCTCAGATTCACCAGGGTTAAAGGAAAATGAAAAAAACAAAACAAAACAACAACAACAACAAAAAACACAGGGATTTCTTATATTCTTTAGCTTGGAACATAAAATTATTTTAAATTTTTTATAGGGTATCATTTGGCAAAATATCTCAAAGTTTTAGAATACATTTCTTTTGACCTAGCAATTTCACTTTATGGATATAATCTTAAAGAAGTAATCAGAGATGTGCACAAAAATTTATATGAAAAAGTTTGTTATATTACTATTTATAATAGTAAAATATTTAAATAAATGATGGCATATTCAATACATGAGCTATAAGGTACATCATGAAAAAATGTTTAGAACATACTTTCAAGTTATAAAAATTAGGGCACAAAAAAGTATGTATTTTTAGACCTGGTATAAAGATGAACAGAAAAATGCTGGAAATATATGTACTGATTATATTAACAGTCCTGGGACAGTAGGATGAAGGGGGATTTTTATTTCCTTATTCATAATTACTGATACATTCTACTTTTTCTATTATTAGGATGTTTTACTTATTATTTTAAAAACTTTTGTGGTAGATAGAGGTGAAGAAGGTTGCAACCAGCCCTCCAATTCCTGCACACATGTCTCTTTGACTTTGTTGTGTCTCTCATCAAGAGACAGAGTCTATTTTCCCACCTTCTAAATCTGACTTGCTTTGACCAATGGATGTAGCAAAAGTAATGTTGTACAAGTAAGGTTGGGCCATCCATAACAAACCTTGTGGCCTTCTCTTTTTTCCTATAAGTGTTGCCCTGGAATTACCGTGTAGAAAACTGGTCCAGCTGACTTGAGGAGAAGAGGCCTCACAGAGAAAGACCAAGTTTCCCCAGTCA